TTTGCATTAAAATTAGAATTTAAATTTTTTATTCACAGTTAAGCCAAATGTTGGTGGGTGATTGGTTCCCCTTATTGCCTTCCTAATGTTAAAGTAATTGAGTTTCTTTGTTTACATACCTATGTATGTACATATGCATGTATACAGGATTATTTAATTATGTTTATTTGTCACATGTACATATGTACATATATGAGCAGCGTACATACATACATACCATATACATATATTCCGTATGTACATATGAAAAAATTATTTCAAGCAAAATGTTATCTGCACGCTTTATGTTAATAAATTCAACGTCGTATGTAGAAAATTTTAAATCCAATGGATCAGACAAGTACAAGTACATGGACTAAAATGTAAATATATGCCAAAATTAGCTTATTTTTTTACACTGTTATATCTGCCTAATTTAAACTACGAATATTAATGGTCGAAAACAATTGTTATACTCTCGCAACCTGTTGCTACAGAGTATAATAGTTTTGTTCACCTAACGGTTGTTTGTATCACCTAAAACTAATCGAATTAAATATAGGGTTATGTATATATAAATGATCAGGATGAAGAGACGAGTTGAAATCCGGGTGACTGTCTGTCCGTCCGTCCGTCCGTGCAAGCTCTAACTTGAGTAGAAATTGAGATATCTTTATGAAACTTGGTAGACATGTTTCTTGCTACCTTGAGACGGTTGGTATTGCAGATGGGCGTAATCGGACCAATGCCACGCCCACAAAACGCCATTAATCAAAAACAAATAAATTGCCATAACTAAGCTCCGCAATAAGATACAAGACTGTTATTTGGTACACAGCATCACATTATGGAGGGGCATCTGCAGTTAAATTTTTTTTTTTAAGTGGGCGTGGTCCCGCCCCTAATAGGTTTAATATGCATATCTCCTAAACCGCTAATGCTATAATAACAAAATTCACTGGAAGCAAATGTTTTTAGAACCTTACCTACAGTGTGAAAATAGTTGAAATCGGCTGGCAACTCCGCCCACTCCCCATATAACGGTACTGTTAAAAACTACTAAAAGCGCGATAAATCAAGCACTAAATACGCCAGAGACATTAAATTTTATCTTTGGGATAGTATGAGATGACTTTATAGGAACCGCGTACAAAATTAGACAGTGGGCGTGGCACCGCCTACTTTTAAGTGAAAACCCATATCTTGGCATAACGTTCTTTTCATATTTCTATGTCATAGTGCGAAAATGGGCGAAATCGGACTACAACCACGCCTATTTCCCATATAACACCATTTTCAATTCCATCTGATTATTTCACTTTCCACTATGCATATCAAGCAACAATGATTATATCGGGGTAAAACTTTGTGTGAATAATACGCTTAAAGTATGCCACCTTGTGACAAAAATTGTCTAAATCGAACCAAAACTGTTCAAGCCCCTAAGTACTAAATATGTGAACCCCAGTGCCTATAGTTGACCTTCTACCGAAAATATCAGCCAATCCACAAAGAAATCTCAAACGAGTATACCATTTGACTTTGCGAGAGTATAAAATGTTTGGTTACATCCGAACTTAGCCCTTCCTTACTTGTTTTTTTATTTAATTATATATAATAAGTATATTCAAAATATTCTAAAAACTTCAAAAGTTAAAATAATTGACTTTTCTAATTGCTAATGCAACAAGCTAAGGAGTAAATTACATTTTCTTATTAAAAAATTATTTTTAGAGAATTTGATGTAGTGATTTCTTTGTCATTACTACTTTTTGCGTTGTAGGTAGAAAATCCATTCAACAAAGGAACTCAAATTGTATAAAAATATTTACTAATTCTATTAAAAAGCTACAGATTTTTTTTTAAATTAAGAAATATAACAAAAAATTACTAAAATTACAAATAAAATATGAAAGTTCATATGATTATCGAATTACTCGATAGCCATGAGGCAATACATTGCATTCTCTAGAAATGAGTAAATATTTGCAAATATGCTGGTAAAAAGAAGTCATAAATCTTTTAAATATGTTATTATATATTATTTTATACTATATAATTATTATATTTTGATAAAATTGTGCGCCCTGCATTAAGACTAGTTTGTGTGAGCGTGATCTAACTCTCGTTTATGTAAATAGCTTTCAATTATTGCAATTTCATTCAAATAAAACAATTCGTAATTGCCTTATGTAAATATGTGTGTACATTTGTATGTGTATGAATTTAGTTTTTATTGTTGACATCAATATATTTATTAGAATTACAATTCATTATCTCTGATTGCAAAAGTCGATTGTCTGAAGATTGTTATCAGCTCATGACGTAGATATACATGTTCATACGGATATGTACAGGTTGGTTGAAAAGTATCTGCGCTTGAAATGAAAAAATACTGTTTTTGGTACGAAATATATTTTTTTATAATAATCTCCCTTAACTTCAATCCACTTATCTGGTAAATACGGTGGATATTCAAGCAATTCATACTTTAATTCATTGAATTTTGTCATTGTTAAAACACCATTGTAAGCAGATGCATTGTCTTGATGAAAAATGATTTTTTGTGCTGCAAACCAAATCCAAAAGGCTGCAATAATATTCAGAGTTGTTTGTTTTACCTTTATGCAGATAATCAATCAACAAAACTCCTTTTGCATCCCAAAAAACTGATGCCATAACTTTCTCTGCTGATCGTTGTGACTTCACCTGCTTTGGAGCTGAAGAACCAACTTCAGTCCACTGTAAACGTTCTTGTTTCAATTTAGGATCATGGTGGTAGATCCAAGTCTCACCCATAGTTATAAAACAACGCAAGATATCAGTTTTATTCTGCTTAAAACGCTCCAAATTATGCTGAGAAATTTGTTTTCCAATTAGTTTTTGTTGTATTGTGTGCGGTACTAACTTTCCAAATAGCTTTTTCATATGTATTTCACCATTTACATTATGAAGTACTTGTTTGTCTGTGATGCCTATGGCATAAGCAATTTCACGCTTAGTCAAACTGGGATCTTCATCAACAATGTTATGAACTTGCTCAATGATTTCTGGTGTGGTTGCGGTTTTTGGTCATCCTTCACGTGGATCGTCTTCAAGCCTAATATGACCACGGTTAAATTCACCAGCCCAAAATTTAACGGTGCGTTTTGAAGGTGGGGACTCCTTGTACATTTCTAATAATCGTTCATTTGTGCATTTAAACCTTTCAAAACAAAGAATCTAATCACTGCGCGTTATTCAATTTGTTCCATATTAAAATAATACTCTGACACGTTATCTTCAAATGGCTTGTAAACAAAGAATTAATTGACAGAATGACTTGTAACTTTGCATGTGTTCTCACGACAGATGTACCAACTTGAGAAAAAACAATTCGGAGCTAGTAGTGCTTTTTCTTGGTGAGATTAACCAACCTGTACTTATATATACATATAATAGGTATAGTATTTAAAACCGGTACAAGTTGGAATTGGGGGTTTCGGATAAAAATATGTATGTGTTAAGTGTCCACAGAGATATGTCCTATTATTTATACACTCAAAAAATTCAGTAGAACTTTTTGTAAACTGTTGCTCATATGAAATATTTTTTGTGTGTTGTAGAAGTTCTTTAGATTTCTTTAAAATAAGTCACGATCATAAATTTGTTTATGATTAATAATTAACAAAACATCATTTTAGTTAATTTTTTTTAAACTGAAAAATGCGATAAGAGCATTTATAGATGTGTTTTAACTGATGTTGTATCGACATTGTTTATATTTTAATCGTCTTTATATCAAAAGTTAGATTTAATTCACAGAAGAAAATTTAGTAAATTCGCGACGAACGTACAAATTAATCCAATTATCTTAAAGAAAAATATTAAAAAATTCTAATGAACGTAATTTTTCCCGTTTTTATACCCTGAACAGGGTATATTAAGTTTGCCACGAAGTTTGTAACACCCCAAAGGAAACGTCGGAGACCCTATAAAATATATACATTAGTGATCAGCATGATGAGCTGAGTTGATTTAGCCATGTCCGTTTGTCTGCCCGTCTGTATATACGTGAACTAGTCCCTCAGTTTTTAAGCTATCGATTTGAAATTTTGCACCTGTCCTTCTCTCACTAAGAAGCTGCTCATTTGTCGGAACCGATATTGGACCACTATGGCATATAGCTGCCATACAAACTGAACAATCGGCTTTAAGCGCTTGTATGAGAAACTTTTATATTTTTTATTTGACAAAATATCTTCACGAAATTAGGCATGGATTATTGTTTAATTCAACTATGTAATCTCCGAACGATCCTGAACGATCGGAGTAAAGTGCTTGCACGGAAAACTTTTTCATTTGCCGAGGTATCTTCACGAAATTGGATCGGAATCAAGGATCCTTTGTTTTTGTGAAGGGTATTTTAGCTTCGGTGCAATCGAAGTTAACACTTTTTCTTGTTTGATGCTTCATTTTACGATATGTCTTACAAATTTGAGCAATGTGGCCAAGTAAGTAGTATCTTCTAAAAATTTCAGTTATTACCTTAAAACCGTGACAAGATATTTGTTTTTTGACGATTTACATCAGCTTTTTGAAGCAAAATCAGAATTGTAATAATTTATTTTTTGAATACTTATTTCTTTTTTTAACCAGAGACCGTAATCATTATAAGTTTTATTTAAAACATCACGTAATAATCATTATACATTGAGTTTTACGATTTTCTTCACCGATAATGATTAGTTTTACAATAACTCATAAATAATTATTATTTTTGAGAAAAAAAAAAATAAAAATCAAAAATAATCATTATTTATGATTTGTATTTTTTTTACTCAAAATAAAACTTACTTTTGATCACAGGTTTCTTATGAAGTATTTTGCTAAGTTTTTTGCATGCCCTTTTTTTTGTATCTGTTTTATTTTTTTGTAAGTAGATTCTAAGTGCTTGATATTTTCATTTAAAAATCGCAACAATAACCATTATTGAAATTTGACCTTTTTGAAATTTTATTATTCACCTTTTCCATGATATGCCGTTATTTACTATTTATGACAGCAAGCGTCACATAACATCATTCTTGTGAAAATATTTTGTATGATTTCTTATCAATTTATTGGCACATGTTTACGAATTCAGAACTGAGTTATTATTTTTCCAAGTGTAGTTTTAGACCTGACGAGAATCATGTCATTCACACAAACACGGTTGGCTCTTTGAATAATCTGAATTTTCTCTCCTGAAAATTTTAAAAGAGACAAGACAAATTATAAAAACTCTTTGAATAACAGTATACTTGATTATCAATTGCTTTAAATAATGCGTTAAGCAAAATTAAACAATTTTAATAATTGCTTCAGAGGTTTGCTTAGTTTGACGACTATTCATGGGAGTAACTATGTACGCATACATGTTTAGTGTGTGCATTTGTTTTCAACCGTGTAGTAAAACAGAAGTTTTCTTAATCGAAAAAATAAATTTCAGTATAGAAATAAATATTTTGCAGGCAACACGTGTTTGTTTTCTGCGTTCTTCGTTGTTTATTCGCCTCATTCCGTGTCTATTCGCATTCGTTTGATTTTTTAATTTTAGACGGTAATTAATTTTTGTGTGAACTTATATATTTACCTATGTTTAAATGTATAAAAAATAGAAAAGAAGTGATTGATTTAGTGAATTGTGAATAGTTTTGAAAGTAGTCCTTGTGAATGTCATATGATTAATTTGTATGATTTTATATGAAGTATGGTATATGTATTTAATTTGCCTAATCCTTTAGATATAGTAGCAGCAGTTACAACTAGCTTTGTAAAATTTGATTCGAAGAGAACATACTTCACGAACACGAATTCTTCATTTAGCACCAAAATATAGAAAGTATCAGCCAAAGGCGGTTTTAGGAAATATTATTAATTTGACTTATTGGCAATATTGACGGTATTAGTACTGCTAACACGGAATCAATTGTGCATCGATTTATATAAACTGCATTCAAATACATATATTTTAATTAGTTTTCAATATTCAGGTTGTGCGTCATCATTACTTCCTCCCCACTAAACTATAACTTTTTATACTGTTTGTGTTTTATTGTAAATTTAGAATTTCTATAATTAAGCCTATAGAAAATAGGAATATCGTATGATCCGCATTTAAGCGTTGACTATTGATTAGATTTGATCTTCTCCTAACCTGAGTTCATGTAGTTGATAAGTTATCAGACCAATAGGGTCCATATAACAGTATAAAATGGTTCATGTGTAAACAGTTATAGATTTACCGCCACTAATAGCCCACTTAACTCGGAATTTTTTCAAGTTCTGTTAGAAAGTACAAGTAAACTGCAATTATGCTGAGAAGGAAATCGGATACCACTGGTCAAGTCAGCAAGTGGCGTTTTGCTACAATTAAGGAAGATAATAACATTGCAGATTTAGAAAGAAGAAAATCGGACACGATGAGTCAAGGTAGGGAGCGAGTAGGACTTAAATACAAACAATATTTTTAACAATATCGTATGAAAAGTGAAACGTTTCATATATTTTTCGAATACCAAAATATAGCTTTAAAACTTGGCCCGCACCTTGAAACTTACATTGTTTAGTTGTTATTTAAATATGGTCTAATAATGTTCTTCTGTTTCTCACCATACGTTTTTGTTGGAGTATGGAATTTAGTAAAAACTTTTAAAATTTTACTTTCGATTTCATCCTTCAATTAGCGATATCAATAACAGATATTGACTGAATTCGTATGGTGTAATATATATTATGTAATATAGTTACACATAAATATATGAGGACACTCATCCCCTACCTCTTTGGCGTTGTATGCATATGTGATTTTAATAGTGTTTATATGGAAATTTCTTTTTGTTCTGAATTTTATTTGCAGAAAGCAAATCGCACAAGTATAAAGCCTAACCAAACCGAACTCAATACGAAACGAAAGCAGTGAAACTTATAGAGAAATCTGTTTTAGACTTTCTGCCAACCGCAAAAGAACCACGAGACTGCTCTACAAACAATAGGCTTGGCCAAGCGGCCTGCAGGCAGGCAAACAGGCAGAAGACAGGGTGTAGTTAAATTTGTGTTTTACGCACTGGTCGGCCTAAGCATCTTTAAATATTCACAACGTCCACCAAATTTCGTTAGAAACGAAATAAAGACTACATTAATAAAATAAGAAATTTTGATATAATAATATCCATTTTCTGGGCAACATTTACATGCTTAAAATTCCATAAATGTAACTGTCACAAAGTGGTAAACCGCAGCAGCTAGTTAGTGATTTAAAGAGAACTTAATATATTTTTTGATTAATACTGTCTAAGTTTGAATTTTAAAAGGACTATTTATGAATACTATTGAACGTACCAATGTAATCGTATCATCAGAATCATCATCATCATCATCAACATTATCATCTCCATCACCATCTTCTTCATTGTCTTTATCAACGACAGTTATATCACCATCATTAAACGAACTGGCTTCATTAAACACTATCAGTTCGTCAACAACGACGAAGACTGCGACGACAGCATCACAGTCATCCACTGCGTTCTCATTGCCAGCAGATACATTGACAACATTTTCATCATCTCCTTACAGAAAAGATCAGTCTAGCGCACTTAGCACTAACACTCAAGCTCATATACACGACCAAACGCAGACGACGCAACAACCACTTTTGGTTGCATCCCCGACACCACCGCCCACACCGCCTCCATCTATTATCGATTCATATTCATCATCCGCCTCCACATCACCTTGCTCATCAACCACCTCAGCATCCTTTCCCCAAACGTCCATTGAAAAGTTCAAGAATCAAGAAACACAAACCCAATTGACCCTCACAAATTCCCTACTGCTCTCCTCCACAGCATCTGTCGTTGCCGCTGCAATCAAAAACCAGTCCCTTGTACGCTCTGTGACCGCCACTAGCATAATGGATATGCCCTTCAACACATCACCCTCGCTGCGCGTGCGTACCACCTCGCTCAATCAATTGAAGAAAACAGCTGATCTTGCCATTGGAAATGAGTTACATGTCTGTCCAAGCATCATGTCTGATGAATTGCGAAAATTGCTACCGCCAACATCTGAAACGGTGATGACTAAGCCATTTCCGGTACGAGGTGAACGAGCCATTACCGACGTTACTACACCGCATGTAATTGCTATGGTCGGTTTGCCGGCTCGTGGTAAAACTTTTATCTCGAAAAAACTTGCGCGTTACTTAAATTGGATAGGCATTTCAACGCGCGTTTTCAATTTGGGCGAATACCGTCGTTGTGCGACAACAGCTTACAAGTCACATGAGTTTTTTCGCGCTGATAATGAAGAGGCAATGGCCATACGAAATCGCTGTGCTAACCACGCACTTCACGACTCCTGCGAATGGCTGCTGAGCGGCTTGGGCAGCGTTGCCGTGTTTGATGCGACGAACTCGACATGTGATCGTCGTCAACTAATCTATGATACTGTCGTTAAACAACATAACTTCCGCTTGTTCTTTGTGGAATCTATCTGTGACGATCCAAACATTATCGAACAAAACATTAAAGAAGTAAAGGTGAGCTCTCCCGATTATTACAATATGAACACAGAGCTTGTGGTACGCGACTTTCTACAACGTATTGAACACTACGAAGAACGCTACCAACCGATTGACGAGGAAACGGAATCGCATCTTAGCTTTTTAAAGATTTATAATGCAGGCAAAAAGACCGTAGTGTATAACAACGAGGGTCATGTAGAATCACGTATAGTTTATTACTTGATGAACACTCACATAACGCCACGTACTATATATTTGACGCGTCATGGCGAAAGTGAACATAATCTAAAGGGACTTATTGGTGGCGATTCGAATCTTAGTGAACGTGGACGTCAATACGCCAAGGCATTGTCCTCGTACATTGAACAGCAACACATTGATGGATTACGCGTTTGGACTTCGTGGATGAAACGTGCTATACAGACTGTGGCGGATGTAAAGGCTCCACAAGAACGTTGGAAGGCGCTAAATGAAATTGATGCCGGTCATTGTGAAGAGATGACCTACGAACAGATCAAAGAAAAATTTCCTGAAGAATTCAAGGCACGCGACTTAAACAAGTTTGCTTATCGTTATCCACGCGGGGAAAGCTATGAGGATTTGGTAGCGCGTCTTGAGCCGGTTATAATGGAGTTGGAACGTCAAGGTAATGTGTTGGTAGTATCGCATCAAGCGGTTTTGCGTTGTTTATTTGCTTACTTCTTGGATAAGTCTGCCGATGAGCTTCCATATTTGTTTGTGCCGCTTCATACAGTCATCAAGCTGACACCGGTAGCTTATGGATGTAAGGTGGAGCACATTAAGTTGCCAATTGATGCGGTTGATACACATCGTCCGAAACCGAAGATACCCGGTGATGTGTCTCTGGGCCTGGATGGATTGAGTGGTGAATTGGTGGCACCCGATGGCGTGGGTAAGGTTTTGATTGTGGGTGACGATGTCAACTCGGCAAATGGCAGTAACAGAGCTATGGGCAATGGATTGGCGGTGGTGACAGAGGGCGTGGTTGTTGGCTCGAAGGATGCAGCTAAGAACAAAGCGGCTTACCTCTGACGGCAACAGCCAGGTACTCCACTCAAACGAGGACTGCTGGCAAACCTCCAAAAGGTTAATACATTATAAGATAATGCAACATAAGCAAACATATAACAAATGTACATTAAGCATTCTAACTAAATTTGTAATGATGAACATTTAGATTGAATAGTTACCTGATAGTTGATGGTGATTTTGCACATGAGTTTTTTTATAACTAATTAGTGATATGGAACTGTTTAAGAGGTTCATTAATGGCCCAAAAGTTTACTATTGCAACTTGTATATGACTGGACTCGATTTTGTATGCTCATAGTATAGTTTTAGCTAAATGCTAATAAATTATATGTACTTATGTATGTAATAGTACGCTTTTGCGAGAATGTTTTCGTCTAGTTACGTGCTGAGTACACACATACCCATCTATACACGCATATTTCAATCGTATATTATTATACCCAAAGGTTTAAAAATTAAACATATAGTTAATAATAAATTTTAATGATTGTAATACATACCCCAAAAACTATCAGTTTTAAACTTATTTTCGTAAATTTGTGCTAACAGTTTTTTTGCGAATGTTTGTATTTTAATGAAGATGTGAAATTTGTATTCAATATAATTTATTAAATTTTTTTGCAGAGGTAAGAAGACTAGGCTGAAACTATTTTGTAGCTAACAGCAAACTACTCAAAATAATAATTGTTGTAGCCTAATACAAACTAAAATACATATATTTTGTAAAATTAAGATTTTTGTCATTAATTGAAAACAACACCTACTGTACTGAATCCCAAATAAATTATTGTATGATGAAGATACTGCATGGTTTTATTTAATTTCCATGGGGGTCCGTATGCATCCATAAAAAAAAAAAAATAAATGTTAAAAAAAGCATTGAAGCAAAGAATTGTTTATATCATACCAGATATTCGCATTGTTTATGCGAGGATATTTTTAAAGGTTTTAAGCGATGGTCAAATACTTGTATTTATTTTGGCCTTAATATAGATTTTGTAGCTGTTACGGCTGCATAAATATTCGCTTCGTACTTTAATTTTTTATCGGTCGGAACTATCTCCTTTATAGATTGATAATAAATTACTTTTGCTGGGTTTTAGACTGCCCGAACACGTCATTTCATCAACAGTTCTAGAAACAAAGTGTTATTTATTGCCAATAAAACTGTTCTCAAACACATTTGGACTTATCTGATCATTGGGTCTACTTACTACTTTTGCCTTCATCGGTAAAATTCAAACTAAAACGATATCCCTTTTTTACTTTTATTTCGAATTTTTATAATTTCCAACTTCAAAAAATTTAATTTAAGGCTTCAAATATTCTGAAGATTACTATTTTTGAAATTCTTCGTGAAATAATAATAATTCTGACAGAATTGCTGCCTCTAGCTATTAAATTTGTTGTTCGTTGTTCTTATTTAGTTTAATAATTTATATTTTAATTCAGTTTTCAGAACTGCCAGAGTTTCATTATGTAAAAAACTGCATAAGAAGCGAGCTGTTAAACAACTTCAGTTATACGAAGGTTGCCTTATAGATTTAGGGAATATTAATCATTAAAAATTTGCGATTACGATTCATCACCTGTCACGATATCATAGACGTGTTTTGAAGCATCGCTATCGTACCCTGAACAGGGTATATTAAGTTTGCCACGAAGTTTGTAACACCTAGAAGGAAACGTCGGAGACCCTATAAAATGTATATATAAATGATCAGCATGATGAGCTGAGTTGATTTAGCCATGTCCGTCTATCTGTCTGTCCGTCTGTTCGTCTGTCTGTATATATACAAACTAGTCCCTCAGTTTTTAAGCTATCGATATGAAATTTTGCACCTGTCCTTTTCTCTTAAAGAAGCTGCTCATTTGTCGGAACGACCAAAATCGGACCACTATAGCATATAGCTGCCATACAAACTGAACAATCGGAATCAAGTGTTTGTATGGAAAACTCTTTCATTTGACGAGGTATCGTCACGAAATTTGGCATGTTTTATTATTTAAGGCAATAATACAATCTCCGAAGAAATTGTATAGATCGGATCACTATAGCATATAGCTGCCATACAAACTGAACAATCGGAATCAAGTGCTTGTATGGAAAACTCTTTCATTTGACGAGGTATCTTCACGAAATTTGGCATGTATTATTAGTTAAGGCATTAATCCAATCTCCGAAGAAATTGTATAGATCGGATCACTATAGCATATAGCTGCCATACAAATTGAACAATCGGAATCAAGTGCTTGTATGGAAAACTCTTTCATTTGACGAAATTTGGCATGGATTATTATTTAAGGCATTAATCCAATCTCCGAAGAAATTGTATGGATCGGATGACTATAGCATATAGCTGCCACACAAACTGAACAATCGGAATCTAGTGCTTGTATGGGAAACTCTTTCATTTGGCGAGGTATCTTCACGAAATTTGGCATGTATTATTAGTTAAGGCAATAATCTAATCGCCGAAGAAATTGTATAGATCGGATGACTATGACATATAGCTGAACGATCGGAGTAAAGTTCTTGCTTAAGGCAACAAATTATTCTCCGCAGAAATTGGTCAGATCAGATCACTATATCATATAGCTGCCATACAAATTGAACGTTCGGAATCAAGTTCATGTAAGGGGCCTTTGTATTTGTGAAGGGTATTATAGCTTCGGTGCGGCCAATCGACACGAACCTTTTTTTGAGCGACTGTCAAATTGCGTGGGATCTAACGTTAATTTTTGACAGTCAAATCTTCGTACAATATTGAATGTGTGCTAGTTCCACTAATACCTACGAGTATAGTTGTCTCAATCCCATGTTAGGTTACACGACGATTGTGCAATGTCAGTTTGCGCACAGTATCAATAGTTTCCGGGACAACTGATTTTGGACGACCTTCAAGAAATTCGTCTTGAAGTGAACAACGACCTCGATTAAATTCGCTATACCAACGATGAACACTGGTCCTTCATGGAGCTTCACCGCCAAAAATTTAATTAGGTTCATTGATGCACTGTTAATGAGTTAATCAACACCCAAAGTTGTAAAAAATAATCGCGCTAAAAAGTGCTAAAAATACTTCCTCCCAGCAAATTTGATTGTGTTAGCTTCAGCGGTTTGACAGATATGTACATTAAACCCTTTAGGGGCCGGGGCTACGCCAAGGAGCTTATGTAGCAAGCTTCATCAATATATCTCAATTTATACTCAAGTATCTTGCACAGAAAAAAGTTACAAACATCAGTTGAAGCGAATAAAATCGTTTTAAAAAGGCAACTTACGTACCTTATTTTTTACAATATCACATATAGACACATAAACGAACTAACGTCATCTGACATCAAATATACTTGTAGTTAAAATTCAAAAATGAAAAGGTAAGTAAATTTTTTTAAAAGCAACACTTGATATGCTAAAGTACTTTTCAGCAAAAGATAAAAGTTTACGCACATACATATGTCGCACAAGCAATTAAATTTTTTCGAGTAAATGAAATTTAATGTTTTAATTTAAAAGCGTTGTTAAATATTAATCATCATATATTATATATATTAATCTCATAACCGGATAACCTCCGTCGCAGTGTTTTTGTCCGGCTATGGGAGCTATCCACATATGGGGCGAGGCAAAAACTTGTGTCTAAAATGAATTCTTAGTGTCATAAAAAAGAACAGGAGTTATACTTTATTAAATGCTGTATATTTTACAAAATTATTTGTTTTTCGGAAAGACAATTATATATATACATACATACTAGAAGATCCGGCCGCGCGTTGCTGTGGCTATGGTATACCATACAGAGTACAGGAGAGAGGAGGGAAGATCGGGGTCCCGAATTCTCAGGGGAGCCCAGTGCTTTGCAAAAATTTTTTGCAAATTTTTTCTCCAATAATTCACTACAATTGTTTCCATTATGAATCACTATATTTCATAAGAATATTTGTTAGTAATGTTGTTATTTAAAATTATGCTTCTCAGCGGTCATCATCAATTGAAAAACAAAATTATTGAGATTAAGTTTGAAATAATTTTTTCTCAAAATAAATATAATATTATTTCAATAAATTAATGGATCAGGGAGCCCCCACTCTAAACCCCCCGAGCCGGTTTTTTTTCTCTACTATAGATATACATAAAATATTTTAATCTATGTAGTTAACATATGTATTTAATAGGTTAGTCTGGTAGGCTAATAGGCCAAGCGTGGTCCTTACTGAACTCGAAGTCTTACCGGTTCCACATATGGTAGTGCGTTCAAGAAAAAATACCACCTTGTTCATTAGCAATAATCAATATGGTGAACTTTTATACATATAGTTGATTCAGTCATGCGATGCTATCGCTATGATATACATTAAATACTTTTGCTTATAAAGGGTGGCTCTATTAGCTCTAGATTGGAATAAATTGGAAAATACAGTTTTTATACTTTTGCAATAGTTACGTGAACAAAACGTAACGGTGGTTTGTATCACCTAAAAATAATCGAGTTAGATAAAGGGTTATATATGTATATATAAATGATCAGGAGACGAGCTGAATTCCGAGTGACTGTCTGTCTCCATCTGTGCAAGCGATAACTTGAGTAAAAAGTAAGATATCTTGATGAAACTTGGTACACATGTTCCTTGAAAAAAGAGTAAGGACCAGTAGATGGGCGTAATCGGACCACTGCCACGCCCATAAAACGCCATTAATCGAAAACGTATAAAGTGTCATATATAAGCCGTGATTTAAGATGCAGAACTCGAATTTGGCACAACGAATCACATTACACCCTAATAAGTTTAATGTATGTATGTTATCTTCCCAACCAATAAAGTTATATAACCCAAATTTGCACAGGATAAGTCTTTTCAACTCTAGATAGTGTGAAAATTGGTGAAATTGGATGATAGTATGCGGCATGTTAATTTCCAAATTAATGCAACCCTTCCCATTTCTCTGCCCTCAATATACCCCACATAATGAATTCCGTCTTCCCACCTGATTTAAAGTCGTTCAGATTGCTAAAAATTTAATATTTTTTTTAAGAAAGCTCTGAATCAGCTTGGAATGCTTATTCTAAACATCATATCCCTAATATAATGAATTCCGATCCTATGGTTGAGTTGATATCACGTGTATCTTATTTAAAGATGCTTTTAATACAATTTTGGTTGGCGCGAACTAGAATATAGTAATAAAACTAAGAAAGTCTAAACCTAAACCTTCAAAATAAATTAGATTTTAATCCATTCACGATTTCGTTGAACAATGAAGTTGAGCATAGGATAGGGTTATTTATGGAAAAACACATCGGGTCTCCTCGCCATTCCATACACATACATACGCACTCGTTTGTCGAAATTTTCCATGACTGTTCTGCATAAATGTGACTGAGTTTCATTGGTGATTGAGATTGATTGTTGAATCTCCTCCTTTAAAGCCTCCAGCCCAAAATCCACGTGTTCTCAGAACCCCAAAAACGGCAATTTCGGCGATTAACAAACATCAAGTTGAAAATGTGCTTCATTGCCTAAGATGAATTTAATGACACGAAATTTTCGAACTGCGGCCGCCAAGCTTTCATTATTTTTATACTCTCGGTTGTTTTCATCACCTGAAACTAATCGAGTTAGATATAGGGTTATGTATATATAAATGATCAGGATGAAGAGACGAGTTGAAACCCGGGTGACTGTCTGTTCGTCCGTCCGTCTGTGCAAGCTGTAACTTGAGTAAAAATTGAGATATCTTTATGAAACACTTGGTACACATGTTTCTTGATACCGTAAGACGGTTGGTATTGCAGATGGG